ACTGAAACCTGCATCCTGAGGTAGAGCTTAAACCTGGGTCACATGACTCTAACAGAAAGGACCTTTATTATCTCACAGAGCAAACTCATGCTGGGACAGACTGCCTCAGATGTTTCCACAATGTTGGACAGCTGGGATGGGGCCAGATGGTGCAGATCCGCCACTATTGTGTCTCATGCTGACTGTAGTGACAGGGACTGTGTGCTGTTTAGTCTCTACTCTTTAATGCTTAGACTGTCCCCTCAGTTGCAAGATAGTTGTCCCTGTTCAGTAAAACTCACAGGACAATCCTGAACCAAAGAAGTGGTCCTTTCCTGCTCTGTATGTGTCAGGGAAAGCAAAGTCTTTCGCAGAAGCTCACAGTAAACATCCCTGAGTTCCTGCCCGGAGATAGAGACATTATTCTAAACCACACCCCTTCTTCCTTCCTCCCTCCCTGATGGACCGACCCAATCTGGTTTAAAATCCGTGTGCCGTCCTCTGTCCCTGTGGTCACCATGTTAATTGTGATCCTCTTTAACTCAGACTGTTCACACTGCTTCTGGTTACTTTTCTGTTGTCACCAGAAAAACCTTAGAAAACAAAAATGTCATTGTGATACCATAGCAGGCTTTCTTTTTTGGCCCACCAATCCAAATTATGACACAGAGACTTATTGTTAGTTGTGAACGCTTGACCTTATCTTAGATCTTATTTTAACCTGTTTCTCTTTATCTACGTTTTGCCTCGAGACTTTACCTTTTCTTCTTTCTGCATGTCCTGCTTCCCTGCTTCTCATGTCTGCCTGACTGGAAGCTGCCTGGTTTCTGGCACCAGGCATGTCCCTCTCTTTCTCCCTTCTTTTCTTCTCTCATCTCCTCTCATCCTCTCCTATTACATTCTCTCTGCCCACCAGCCCCACCTATCCCTTTCCTGCCTAGCTATTGGCCATTCAGCTCTTTGTTAGACCAATCAGGTGCCTTGGGCAGGCAAGGCGAAGCAGCAACACGTCTTTCCATTGTTCACAAAGGCAGCAGAAACACATGGAACACACCTTCACGTAGTTAGAGTAATACTCCTCAACATAGACAAACGTAACATACCTTTGCCTCGGTAAACAAATGTCCCACAACATGATGCTATACTGTTGAAAACCCTGCGGGGGTTCTTTGTCATAAGTCGGATAAAGTCCCAGGTGGCTTCATAGCTGCAATGATGACTCTTCTCCTCCTTATCTGACAGCTCGGTAATCTACCAGGTAGATAAAGAGCTGTACTGGCAGGACGGTTGTTGGAGAAAGGCTCAGACCCCAGCTAGGTGGATCCCCTCCCTGGACCCCTGTAAAACAGCAAGAAGGAAATGCCTGCTAAGAAGCCGGGACGACCTGAGTGTCAACTAGGCGAACAGCATAAGTTTAAATGGTGTAGGAGCCATTAGTGGGGACATCCTTCCCCTGAGCGTGGAGAAGGGCCAAAGGGGCAGAGAGAACTCATAGGTCTATAAGCTCTGTCACACGCATCCACACGCCGGATGATGCCAGGAAAGAACTGCTTCTGTTTACCACCCAAACTCCAAAAGACTGCTGGAAGGATTTCTGCTCTGATTGTGTTGGACAAGTTTAGCCAAGCAGATACTTAGAACATAGAAAAAGCAACCGCAGATGAAATTCAACCAATAATAAAAACTTGTGGGGGGGATGATTTCTGATTATTTGAGTGTATTTATAGTGTATTAAAATTGCTTTAGTGATTTCATTTAGGTCATCTTCTTATATGTACATACTTTAGGAAGTTTCTGTTATGTTAAGTTTCCATGCAACCCCTAAAATGGACTTTAATTTTAGCTGCTTCTCCCCATATTCCTTCCCTCATCTTCCTCTTCTCTCACCTGTACACTTGATCCTTCTGTTACAGCGCCCCCCGCATCTATCCATAAATATTTTATTTCCCTAAGGAGATCTGTCTGTCCCCCTAGTTCCTTACTCTATGCCTAACCTCTGTGGTTCCACTGATTGTAGCTTGGTCATCTGTTGGGAGCTGTTGGGGCTGTGGACCCCTGGACCCTGAATTCCCTATGAGTGGCTTCTTTTTCCTGTGCTTGCAGTTGCTCTAAGCAAAACAAATTGTTTTCCTCTGCTCTGAGCATGAGACCTTGATGACGGGCTGGTGGGTCTGCAGCTGAAAGACCCCGAGAGCTGGGTCCTGGCCAGAATCCTATATTAGCTTCCTCTGAGCACAATAAACTTGGCATTCTTGTATCAAGAGTGACCCATGTCTCTGTCTCTGTGTTTGTTTGTATGTTTTCAAGTCTTCTCAACCCAGTTCCTGGCTCACGTACCAACAGGCGTAGTACTGTAGAGTGTAGAGCTGACATTGTATTTTACAGTCACCATAGACTTAACTACTAATATCCACATATAAGTGAATACATACCACATTCATCTTTCTGGGTTAGGATCACTTCACCTAGGTTTTTTTCTAAATGTTCTATCCATTTCCTGAATTTCAGTTTTTCATTTTTTAATGGCTGAGTAGTAGTCTATTATGTAAATGTACCACATTTTCTTTATCCATTTATCTGTTGAGGGTCATCTAGGTTGTTTCTAACGTCTGGTTGTTGTGGACAGAGCAGCAATGAGCATGGTTGAGCAAGTGTCTCTGTGGTAGGATAGGGTATTCTTCGGTTATATGCCCAAGAGTGGTATAGCTGGATCTTGAAGTAGATCGATTCTCATCTTTTTAAAATATTTTTTATGGTTTATTTAACCTTATTTTATGTGCATTGGTGTGAAGGTGTCAGATCCCATGACACTGGATCTTCATACAGTTGTGAGCTGCCATGTGGGTGCTGGGAATTGAAGCCGGGTCCTCTGGAAGAGCAGTCAGTACTCTTAACCACTGAGCCATCTCTCCATCCCCGATTCTCATCTTTCTGAAGAACTGCCACTGTTTTCCCCAGTGGCTGTACAAGTTTGCGCTCCCACCAGCAATGGATGAACGGTCCCTTTACTCCACATCCTGGCTAGCATAAACTGTCACTTGTTTTATTGGTCTCGGCCATTCTGACAAGTGTAAGATGAAATCTCAAAATCATTTTGATTTGTGTTTTCCTGATGGCTAAGGATGCTATGCTGCATAGTTTTATGTCAACTTGACATGAACTCAAGTCACCTGAGAGAAGGGAACTGCAATTAAGAAAACGCCTCTGTAAGATTGGACTGTAGGCCACCCTGTAGGGCACTCTTGCAATTAGTGATTGAGAAGGCCCAGCCCATTGTGGTGCCATCCCAGGCTGGTGGCCATGGGTTCTATAAGAAAGCAGGCCAAGGAAGCCATGAGGAGCAAGCCAGCAAGCAGCATTCCTCCACGGCCTCTGCATCAGCTCCTGCCTCCAGATTCCTGCCCCATTTGAGTTCCGGTCATGACTTCCTTCTGTGATGAACAATGATACAGAAGCAGAAGCCAAATAAACCCTTTCCTTCCCACACTGCTTTAGTTCGTGATGTTTTATAGCAGACCTCGTATCTCTATCCCTAACAAAGAGAGATGCTGAACATTTCTTTAAGTGTTTCCCAGTCATTAAGGTTTCCTTTTATGAGGAATCTCCATTTAGATCTATATCCCATTTTTAAGTTGGGTTATTTGCTTTCTTGGTATCTAGTTTTTTGAGATCTTTATTTTTTTTATATTAGTTTTCTACCAGATGTGTAGTTGGTAAAATCTTTTCCCATTCTGTAGGCTGCTGCTTTGTCAGAATGATGGTGTCCTTTGCCATGCAGAAGCTTTTCAGTTTCATGAGGTCCCATTTATTAATTGTTGATCTTAGGACCTGTGCTAATGGTGTCCTGTTGAGAAAGTCTTTACCTGTGCCAGTGGGTTCAATCTCCATTTTCTCTTCTGTCATACCCAGCGTATCTGGTTTTATGCTGAGGTCTTTGAGCCGTTTGGGGTTAGGTTACCTTCTGACCTGCACACAGGAGCTGTGGTGGGTGCAGACACCCGTCTGCACATCCCACCATCTCTAATCACACTCAACCATTCTTTAACTTAAAACAAACATAAGTCAAACAATCACAATTGAATATGCCGATGATCATAACTACCCCTCCCACTCAACCTGTACTTGTTCTTCCTGCTTAAGAACGGGGTCCTCTCTCTTGTTGTAGCTCTGCAAAAACTAAAGGTTATTTAGATGCAGTTTACGTTTTCATTACGGACTCTGACTTTCTTAATGGGTAAGAAACTGTTAGGGATGACCAGGGAGTGCTTTTCAACGAGGAAAGAGCCATCGATTTGAGGCACGAGAGGACTGAGTGTGAGCATTCCAGCAGACACTTGACCATTGACAGTGACAGGCAGGGGACAGACCGGGCAGAGAGGCAAAAGACTGCATGCGCAATTCTCTTTGCTTTATTCTTTTTCATTTCGAAAGGAACTGGGGAGAGTTCGGCTTTGTGTGTCTTATGTGGGCTTCAGACAAGCTGGCGCTCTGACCACCTCAGACTTTCTGTATTCAGGCTTGACCTTCCCTGACACCGCCAGTTCTGTCACAGTGCCACGGGATATGGTTGTTGGCATCTCCTCTACCTCAGGAGCCTGCCCGGCCCCCGGCCCCTGGCCCCAACCTCTACAGCTTCATGCTCGTCACTAGAACCTCTCAGAGACTGAGTGCCTATGAGAAGACAACATGTACCAATTGTCTAGGCCTTCAAACTGACTGTGATTCTCCTCTAATCCTTTTAAACGTGGTGTTTTTAAATTAAGAGTGGCGGAAACAAAGTGATTTAGGACGATGATGCTGTTCTTCTAGCCTGTTTAATGACAGTGGAGCACGGCTCAGAAAATGAACTGTCAGATTTGATCAATGATGTTGAAGCGAACCGTGCTCATTCCCAGAGTAGCTGAAGTCAAACTCCCTCCTAGCAAGTGATGCTTTAATGATGGAAGGGTCTGGTGACCAGGAGCCGCAAGGGAACGTCAGTCACTCCCCCGCCCACACTGCCTCTCTCTTCTGTCTTGCAGGCACAACGTGTTTGATTGCTCTGCTGTCAGATAAAGACCTCACCGTGGCCAACGTTGGTGATTCTCGGGGAGTCTTGTGCGACAAGGACGGGAACGCCATTCCCTTGTCACATGATCACAAGCCTTACCAGCTGAAGGAGAGGAAGAGGATAAAGAGAGCTGGTGCGTTGGTGAGCCCCCTGGAGGGAGGCTGCCATCGGGTCTGGTGATCTAGGTGCTCACTTGGAGAGTTTCCCAGCAGCACACGGGGTCAATGTGACTTGGCTGTCACCTGGTTTATATTCCTATACTGTGCATTCTTATTCATTGATGATGACTTAATTTGCCACTCTAAATGGCCAAAGACAGCCCTTCCCCGTCGAAAGTCCCATTAGATCACTGGACCTCTGCTCTGTTACGGCCATGCCAGACCCTAACACTCCACCGTGAATTCCAGTGATATATGTGTGCCTACGCCAGCGCCATTCCCACTTCCGAGTGAATGCAAAGGATGTATCCCTTGAAATTCAACGTGGCAGTGTCCAGTTGGAAGCTTTCCATGTCCCACTGGGGCAAAGGCTTCCACAGTCTTGGGTGACTGCCTTCTTTCTTTCTTTCTTTCTTTCTTTCTTTCTTTCTTTCTTTCTTTCTTTCTTTCTTTTTCTTCCTCCCTCCTTCCTCCTTCTTTCCTTCCTTCCTCCCTCCCTCCTTTTTTCCCTCCCTTCTTCCCTCCCTCCCTTCTTCCTTCCTTCCATCTTTCTTTCTTTCTTTCTTTCTTTCTTTCTTTCTTTCTTTCTTTCTTTCTTTCTCTCTTTCTTTCTTTCCCTAGTATCCCCAGTACATCTCTTTAGGCTCCTTGTAAAATATATACACACAGCTGACTCTTGCCTTCTTGTCTGTGAGCTCTTTGGGACCCATATCAGTGCATTTGAGAGTGACCTCACCGATTGTTTCAGAAATGTCTCCCTGACTGTCCACTTGCTTTTTGGCATTTCTCTGCCCCTCTCCTTGAATCCCCATGCTGCAGCTACATGCTGTCAATCACTGAGTTGCCACGGTGTGTTACTAAACCTGACACTCCGTCCTCACCCATACTCTCCCCTTAACATTCTTGCCAGCATTAGCGGTGCCAAGGATGAGAGCATGCAGTCCCATCCCAGGTCCTGCAGTGAAATGCTGTTGGCCTTGGCAAAAGGGAAGGAGGCTCCCGTGGCTCCTCCCGTGGCTCCGCCCATATGTAGCAGATCAGTTTATGGTATGCCCACCCAGACTTTACCAAGTGTGATCGGTATCACGGCTGGGCAAGCTAACGGGCTCACGTACTTTGTCCTTCCAGGTGGATTCATCAGTTTCAACGGCTCCTGGAGGGTCCAGGGAATCCTGGCTATGTCTCGATCCCTGGGAGATTATCCACTGAAAAATCTCAATGTGGTCATCCCAGACCCAGATATCCTGACCTTCGACCTGGACAAGCTGCAGCCCGAGTTCATGATCTTGGCATCAGACGGTCTGTGGGATGCTTTCAGCAACGAGGAGGCAGTTCGATTCATCAAGGAGCGCTTGGATGAACCTCACTTCGGGGCCAAGAGCATCGTCCTGCAGTCCTTCTACAGAGGCTGCCCCGACAACATCACAGTTATGGTGGTGAAGTTCAGGAATAGTAGCAAAACGGAAGAGCAGTGAGTCCCACGGGCTCTCAGCTGCCCTAGACCAGAGGACTCTCGACCTACTGTTCTCTTAATATAGGAAAAGGTGTGGGATTTATAATTAGGATCATGTGTCCCAACAAAGAGCCCCTTCCCTGGCGACCTTGAATCCCTACCAAGTGATGAGCAAGGAGTTCCCTGGCTGACATTGTGGAGGGGCTGGGAAGAGTCTGTGTCCCCCCAGCCCCTCTTACCAGTGTTTGAAATGCACCTATAGGTAGCCATCGACCCCCAGACACAAAGCAAAAGGAAGTTAGGCCGTGTATTCCCTTTAATGTTCTTTTCATGATCTTTTCTGTGGTCCTTCAGCTTCCTTGGTGTCCTCTTGGCACCCGTGGGCAGGGCAGGCAGGTGGGTAGCTGCAGGCACCATGCCAGGGCATCTCCTGGCAGTGTGGTGGTGGTACCCTCCACCTAGCAGCTCCCTTGGAAAAGTTTTCCCCTTCTGAGCTTGTGTCTTCGGTACTCCGGCAGCCTACGGAGGAGACTGGCGACACTTTATTTGTTGCCTGCTCTTGGAGACTGAGGGATGCAGAGAGGATGGGGGGTCGGTGGCAGCTTCCTGCACCCCAGACAACACCCCTTCCCCATCCCTTCCTTCATTAGTGTAGGAGACTCCGGAGCCCAGGGGGCACAGCTTTCCCATTTGCCCACACCTCACAATGCGTCAAGGGCAGCCGCTGACTTCACCAAGAACCCACAGAAAGGGATGAAGCGGGGTGACAAGCAGTGAGGAATAAGGCTGAGAGGAGTCTCAGTGCCCCCATGGAGATGCGCTGTCAGCGTTGGAAAGGCAGACATGAACCCAGGGAATCTCCTCTCCACTTCACCCTCACCGGCTTCTGCTTTTTCCACACAGCCTTCCCGAGCCCATCCCGGTGGCTTTCACGTCTTTCCAACAGTGTTGGGAGAAACAGCAGCCTAGAATCGCCCAAGTGCTGTTCCCAGCCACCCCAAATTGGTATTTGGCGGCAAACCACCAAGACATGCTTTCTGGCAAGAGAAAGGCCTTTCATCTTTGGCTGCAAATCTCTGTCCATACCCAGTACGTTCCCCAGGCAAACACAAACGGACTGCAATAGCCTGGATGGGGGGGAAATAGCAGACGGGCACCTGGGGGCCCTGTGTGCGCTGGCAGCAGAGCTGGCTGGGAATGCAAGCAAGAGCCCCAAGAGGTGCGCAGCACAGTTATCTGGGGGTGTGGCCTGCCGCTCTGCCCTTCTTAACACCAAAGCTGAGGGGTTTTCCCCGGTCTCTGTGCTTTATAAGTTAATTGGCTGTCCTTGACTGATTGAACCAGTCCCAAACAACCACGATTTTCACTGTAGACCCACACTCGGAGCCCGCCTGGTTTTCTTTCTCAGGATGGGTGTTTGTCAGCATGGCCTCTCAAGGCCCACCCATTAGCCATCCCTGCCCCGGTGCCCAGCCCTCTGTCCTTCAGCTGCAGAGTTTGCCCAAAGCCCAGAGGACAAAAGGTTACTTTGTACTCCGAGGACTGCAGACTGTCTCGACTCCTCCAGGAACTTGCTTTTCTTTGACTGCATTGAGAATTAATAATGGTTTCCCAGGGAATTTGCTTACTTTTGTATCTTGTGTTTTCAACATTGGAATTAGGGTCTTAGTTACTGCTGTTCAAAATGTTCTAGTGCAAAATACATTCTCTCATGTTACATGAGTGCATTGGCCTGTGGTGACATGGACACATGGATGTAAATTCTGGGTCAGTGATGGAGATTCGCTTGTTGACTTAGGATGCTCTAGAGTCCCCACAGCGCTTCCTCTAAAACTCCAGATTTGACAGTCCATATGGGCAACAAAAACTTTTGTTTCTGTATTTGCTTAACACAAAAGTGTATGAAACAGGAGGGAAAAAAATAATTTGAGAAACATTTTTAGTGTAAAGAAAAAAATGAGATACTGAAATAATGTTTGGGTGAAGAAAAAAAGGGAAGATACCAAATTAGTCCACTGGTATCTCTTGAGCACGCGGGCGGTGCTGCCTGCACTGGTTACAAAACCTTCTGATTGAGGTTTATGGGCAGCTTGTAATTTTGCTTTGAAGACGTAACTTATTTCTAACTGCAACCAAATAGAGTGTATATCATATATATATATATGATATATATATCAAATAGAGTATATATCATATATATAAATATAAATTTCATATTCCTTTCTTGCCTCTTCCCCTCCCCCATGGCTTGTAGACTTTTTTTAAAGCTAGAAATGCTAAGCAGGATAGTAGCGGTTTGATGAATAGTTACATATCCACCAGAGTACCCTTGCCTTCCCCATGTCCTTCTGGAATGCTCCCTTCCTGACCTGTGTCCAGCTGTGGGGAGTCTGCAGTTGGTTGTGGCTGGGCACCTTGGCCACCCCCGTCCTCCAGCGGCTCTGGCAGGGTGGATCTAGCTGCAGGAGAAACGGATCTGAGGGAGAACTTGTGAGGCTTCTGTAAACAGCACTGCCAAGCTTGGGGATCATCCCCCAAGGCTGCCCGGACTTCCTGCCCAGCCTGAGTTCGAATTGCCAATCGTCCCCACAGTGCCAAATCTCGGGAGGGTTTTACAGTGTTTCAGAAATACAGCTGATGCCGGTCCCAGGCCCCGCTAACCACTCCCTCCGCTGCTGCTTTCCTGGCAATTTGTACTCTTTGGGTGGGGGAGAGGGAGGGGAAGGGAGGGCAGGGAAAGGGTTTTTAACAATTCACTGCATTTGCAGTTACCTAATCATATAAATAAACTATACTAACCTAGAACAATCCAAAGCTTGTCCCCAGGATTTGTATTTTTTTTTTAATGTGACCAACTTTGCCCCAGTCAATCTGGATCACTGACGTACCACGTGACTCTATGTACTTATTCCCAGTGGCCAGTGTTAACTTCTGTTCCTTGCTGTGACCCGGAGGGACCGGCCTCTTGAATCTGATATGTGTCAAGAACATTGCCAAGAGAAGGTTCCAGCATAGAGCTTCTGCAGTCTAGGTATCTCAGGCATGCTTTGTGGCACACAAGTGTAGTGATTTGGACATTCTGCACAGAGGCAAATGCACAGGGGTGCTGGTGTTGCTGTCCTGGTGTTGCTGTTCTGACCCTCTCTGAAGTGGCTCCAGGGATCCGGCTACACTGTTGCCTAGAGTATCTGGAAATGCGTGAAGGGCTCACCGAAGGCGTGCCTCTTTTTCCTTTGCCAGGTGCACTTGGTTTCTCCTGTGGTTTTGTTGTTTCTCTTCATCATCTTCTTCTTGACTTCAGAAATGCTTTTCCCTCCTTTGACCCATCATTACATAATCTTCCCAGAGTCGTCACCCAGAACTGCCTGGGTCTATCACAGCAGCATCCCCGTTTAGCTCTGGAAAAGACACCAGTCCAACGCTCCCGTGGAGGCCGTAAAGTGTAAAATGTGAGCTGCTTCTGGCTAAATCATATTTATGGAGGCCTTTGGGCTAGCTGGATGTACCTTGCAGGAACAGAGGAATCTAATGGCCCTCGATACAGAAGAACACATATTCTAGAGATGATTTTCCATACATGGTTTCATTGTCACGGGAGTCAGGGAACAATACTTCATAGTCCACAATAAACTCGTAACTAAGCTAAATGTCATACAGGAGAGGAGAAAACGCTTACAGAGCCCTAATACCGTGTCTGTGAGCTTCTTGTTTTCCCAATTAACTCAATCCCAGAAAACTCTAGCCCTTCTGACATTGCAATGGGCTCCTAACTACCACTTTGGGATTAGTGACGGTACAGTGTGTAAGCCAGAAGTACTGAGCCTTCCACCTGCGAGGCTGGGGTCTAAGATGACCACAAGAGTCTCCCATTGACGGCAGAAGCCCAGAAGTCGTACCTGACACTATAGATGCGCTCTCCCTCCCGTGAGTAGGAAGCAGGGGCTTTGTCTGGCTGGACAGTTCTCAACTGTGCTACCACGGCTTTCGGTTGTTCCTCTGCGGCTGTCTTTGCTTTCCAGATTAAAGCAAAATATTTTTCTCTCATCGTTGATACACACACATACACACACACACACACACACACACATACATATATATCAGGACAAGTGCATTCTTGATTTTAATCACTTTTGATATTTTAACTATTTTTAAATATATAATAGAAATGTCAGCTGTTAATTTTAGCACATATTACTATCTTTCCCTTGTTCACTACAGATTCCGTGAAATAATTCGCAATTCAGAGCTCATGCATCCTGAAATTCATATCCTTTCAGATCACACACACACGCGTGCGCACACACACGCGCGCACACACACACACACCTACCTGTCAAGTCTGGCAGCTTATAAGCCTCGGCCATATTTCCCTAGCCATCATTATCCTCAGCCTGGTCAGTTTGCTCTGGAAGTTGTGGCAAGTAACCCCAAAACAATGGGTGAAACAGAAATGGTAAATCTGGGGTAAAGTCACTCATTTAAAATTGCATCCAAGATTTTGAGGGAATATATCACCTATACAATATAAAATACTAAAACCTAAAGCTAAAAATAGCATCCCTTAGGCTAGGTTGCAGATTGCAAAGGGCAAGGGCCAGTTGGTACAGTGAGGTCCATGGGTACGTTTCGAAATGTTCCCTAATACAGAAGCTTTTGCAGGTTCTTAGTAACGCTAGGGCTTTGTCCATTATCTGTTTGATTTCCCACTGTTAAGCTGCATACTAGTAAGCCAGGTGTTATAATCATTTTATACATCTGGTAATAACTATACATCATGTGTAGAATCTGAGTTAATGTCAGTGAGAAGAGCATGTGACAAGCATTTTGACAAGTCATCATGGGCATTTTTGCTGTGCAGAATTACACCGGGAAACCAGCATGAAGCAGAGGAACAGATCATATTTAGGACTATATTCCCATTTGTTTCCAAAGTCTTAATATTGTTTAACCATAAAATCCTTACACATTTGACACACTGAAATGAATTTTGAAAGCCTCCAAAGACAGGCATCCAGCACAAGCAGAATATTTAATGGTTCTGGTAGCAGCTTGGGGCTAGGCAGGTTTTGAGGAGGGGCAGGAAAATCGGCCGGTTCCTCTCAGTGTCTCAACCCATGAGGAACTTTACCAACCACATGTTCTCACAACACTCCAGACAATCCAGATGTCGAATGGGAGAGCATGCATCCTTCGGACAATTTAATTAGCTCATTTGTAATTTAAAGTGTGTTCATGAAGAAGTAAAGGGAAAAGCCGTGGTCCAGGGATGGAGCGGTGGGGCATGGGAGAAGCCGTGGTCCAGGGATGGAACAGTGGGGTGGGGGGGAAGCCGTGGTCCAGGGATGGAACAGTGGGGCGTGGGAGAAGCCGTGGTCCAGGGATGGAGCTGTGGGGCGTGGGAGAAGCCATGGTTCAGGGATGGAGTGGTGGAGCCTGAGTTCAGGGAAACCGAATGTGACTTATCTTAACTGTGGCTCTGCAGGTGCCTGCACATTGCAGCTTTGGATAGTGACTTTGGCTTCTGTACGAAGCATGGATTTTCAACAGTGCAAGCAAGGTGTGAACCGAGCCCTGCTCCCTTTTGTCCCAGTGATCTGGTAGATAGCTCTCACCCAGCACTGCCCTAAGCATGCCGCCATCTTCTATTCCTGTCCAAACCCTGGATGTGGTTTTTCTTAGAACTTTCTCATTTTCAAAGTAATGTCCCTCTTTATACTTAAAAAAAAAAAATACTAACAGAGATGAAATAGCTTGAACATGCTGGTCATTTTCCAGATATCAGCTGTCAACAGGGAAAACAGTGACGACCTGGTTGATAATAGGCAGTTTCATGGGAAAAAACTGTGGGATAATTTAGCATTCTTCATGTGATACAGAGTTATGCTGCTCTCGCCATTTTTAACTAGCCCATAAAAATCATGTATTAGACATCTTTATGGTGGGTGGATGATACAGTTTTAAATCTGCCTCAACCTGGGTTAGGGCAAAGAGGGACTGATTAGAATGATACAAAGAATTCTGCCATATGGGGGGAACCTAATCCCTGGAACATTGAGTGAGACTATAATACTCGAGCAGTGGTGGTGCGTGCCTTTAAGCCCAGTACTCAGGAGGCAGAGGCAGGCCGATCTCTGTAAGGTTGTGGTCAGCCTGGTCAACAGAGTGAGTTCCAGGACAGCCAGGGCTACACAAAGGAACCCTGTCTCGAAAAAAGAAAACAAAACAAGAAAAGAATATTATACTCTCATACAGGCTTCTGGTCCCTGTGTATTTTTCATCTGGGCCCCGGTATCTTAAGACACACATTCAAAAAGTTGGAAAAAAAAATGCCACAACTCCATTTCAGAGCTCCTGAATTCTTAGCTCTTACCATGTTCTTTTAAAGCTGTGGCTTTGTAGGCGAGACTGGGACAAGCTCCCAAAGGGAGAGTGGAAAGTTAGGACAGGGAGTACTTAGGGACCAGAAGGAGAGGGCAGGACTACTCAGAGGGAGGGACAATGGAACCTACAGTTGGTTAAAGTCTGAGAATCCCCATTTCTGGTAACTGACTTTTCCGTGTTACTGTCTGATTGTGTTGAGCGCGTTACAGTCTGGTTGTGTTGAGCGCCGCCCCTCCCCAGGTTCTTCGACTGTGGTTTTACCTCTGTTTCTATACGAACACCTTTTAGACCATGGGTTGTCTATCATAGAAACACTCTGATTAACACATGACTTCACACTTAGCCTGTGCACTGTTTTATCACAGAAGGTGAGAGAATGTGGCTGACCAGTCCTCGAGCCTGAGAAGGACAGTGCTGGGCACAGTCTCAGCGGTGACCTGGTAGAAGCCCGGCTGCCTGCCCTCCAGAGAGTGAGGACAGGGAGGAATGAGAACACTGAACCATGTGCTTTTTCTATTTCTGATCTCAAGAGACTCTAAACTGTAATGATCTCATGCCCCAAAAGACAACTGAAGACTGAGTGTGTTTATCATTGGTCTTCCTGACTATGTAGATGGAGAATTTGCCCTTTGGAAAGCTAGCATATGTCAGGAGTATAGTTACTTCTTAACTTCAAATGCAAACAAACACTAAATGACAGGTTTTTTAAAACAATAATAACATAAATGGTCTCTTAGCATTACACATTCCAGGTTCTAAACATATGATTTTAAGTTTTATACTTTGAACAAGAATAGTAAAATCTGCATGGGGGAGGAACCAAAAAAAATCAGACTTTTTTTTAACCAAAGAAGCATCACCTTTAACGTTTGCCAACCCCATCCTTCCCTAAGCTGTCTGACCCGCTGAGTTCAGTCCTTTGCCTAGGCAGAGTAGACTGGTAAGAACCAGCTTCTCACTGCACTCTGGAGTCAGCTGTTGTTTTTAATCACAAGCACTTGCAGAAGAAACCTCACCAGCTTCTAATAAGATTAAGACCGTAGGTGGGGCCAAGTTTTTAATAAAGGAGGAAGAGAAAGGGGAAGAGGGAAAGACTGTACCAGCTGCGCAGTAGTTTCTGTGAGTGGTACCACAGCTCAGCAGTTCCGAGAGCACCCTGTGCGGACTGTGGAAATGCTGGCTTTGGATAAGCTGTTCTTTATATCCGTTTGACATCATGGAATTCTTCGCATTGGCAGCATTTCCTTGCTACGTTAAATGTCAGAAGGGGTTGTTTATCAGAAGGTACCAAGATCCACAATGTATCAGTCTCACAATGTATCAGCCATGTTTAAAAACTCCTGACATTATGTTTAATGATGAAGTCACACGTCGGTGTGACAGCTGCATCACCCAGGCTTTCCGAAGTCAATCCCTAAAACCCATCTGTACATCAAAACCTCGCGGGAACCTCAGAGTGCTGGGAGCCACTTAGAGCTTTTCACTTGCACTGTTTGTACTTGTTGCGGAGACGCGTGAGGAACAAGGCTGCAGTGGGTTTGGGAGGAGCTCAGAGTCGGTGGCAATGTAGTCACTCAAGATGCATGGCGTGTCACTTGGTCCCTATGATGTGCTGGATACAGTTGACGTTGTGGAGGTTGCTGTGCAAATGCAATCGCTCATTCTATGTTGTATACAAAGTGAACAGCTAAAGGAGAGAAGGTCAACACATTAAAGCTATTAAACTGTTTGCTCCTACTCTTCTTTTCCTTGGACTAAACTCGTCTTCTGTGCCAATGTCTATTTGGAAAATACATGGTTTTGAGTTTTGCTGGCTCGGGGTTTTACTGAGATAACAGAAAGTCACTTCATGGGAGGAGACCACCTAAACATAACAGACACAAGCGGGAAGAGCTGCTGGCGGTTGGGAACAGAGTGAGCCCGGCGATGGTTCAAAAACAGCAAGGTTTTAAAGGCATACAAATGTATGCAACCTAAGTGAGTACTTATTCTTGACACAGCTTCCCCCTTTAATAATCAGGATTAGATAATGGCTAGATGAATTACAGATATATGTAGATTGGGCAACATGGCATACCATAACCTAGAAAATTTCAGAACGGGGTATCTCGGCAAAGATTTTCACAAGATGCCCAGGAACACTGGAGTCTGGGGACAGTATTCAGAGACTGTGTGTGTACATGTGCATGCCATGCAGTCTTTAAGTATCCTGAAGATTGAAGGCTCAAACATCAACAGAACCTGGAATTTAAATAAGCCTCAGCCACTGGACTGCTGAATTTAGAATTGAGCATAACAAATTGAGTATATAGAGCATAAAAATATAGCCTTTGGACTAGGCGGTGGTGGCGCACACCTTTGATCCCAGCACTCAGGAGGCAGAGGCAGATGAACCTTTGTGAGTTCAAGGTCAGCCTGGTCTACAAGAGCTAGTTCCAGGACAGGCTCCAAAGCTACAGAGAAATCCTGCCTCGAAAAACCAAATAAATAAATAAATAATAGTCTTTGATTGTTTTTCTCTTTTTCATTAAAATCAACATGAGCCAGACACAGTAATTTACCCTTGTAATCTTGCACACAAGACATTGGGCCAGAAGAATCATAAATTCAAGGCAAATCAGGTACCTAACAAGATTGTCTCGATATTAATAATAGATATCAAACAATGGAAACTGCATCCCCTGGGTAGAATTTTTCTAATAGAATGAAAAGTATGGCATGGTATCTTTGTCACTTGGTTAGATACATGTGAGGCTTCCTCGTCCACCTCTGATGGACTTGCTAGCCACTGGCTAAGGTGAGCTCGGTAAGCAACTAAGAAACTGGGCAAATACACTGGGCAGCCATTTCCAGGAAGCCCAAGGCGGCAATCCTGGGAGGGAGGAAGGGCTCACAAGCTGTCCCGTGAGCACCACAGTTCAGGGCAGCAGGCTGGAGTCCACTGGAGAGGATGCCATTGCCAACGTGTAGATCAGGGCAGGCAAAGAGATTAGAGTCTGCAGAGATGATGGAGAAGGGGCTGAACAGTTCACGTACAGATTCCTCACGAGTCCAGCTGAGAACTTTCCCGCATGGAGCAATAGGAAGCTTGACTGAAGTAGAGGTGAAAACAGAGAGAATACAGAGGTGAAGCATTGCTGAGGACTGCCAGGTTCTGATCACATGAAGCAGAGAACACTCATTTAAACATTGTTAACACCTATATGCCATGCTTTAGAAGTAAAGACCACACTCTAAGACTCACACTAAGGCCTACTGCAGACTTAGTCTACAGGAGCTTAAAGCTAACTGCTGATAAGAGCTACAAGGAAATCAAAATTGGAAAACTGAGCCAACAATTCCCAGGGGCATGGGAAATCTCTTAGGCTTTCATGGACTGACTTAAGTAACCCTTAAAACTCTCCTCTACAGAAAAGAAAAAAACAAAACAATGAAAAGACCCCAAGTCCAGCATAGTCAGTGAATGACTCAGCTGCTGCCTCCAACTAAAAACCCAGAAGTCCTCAGAGGAAGAAAACAGTCCAGGGTAGTGTGTGTTTACATTACCCCATTGTTCAAGACAGTCGCCTATCAATAAATTACCACTGTGAAGAAGCAATGACTGGGAGTATAGTCAGTAGCAACCAACTCCTTGTAGCTCACAAGGTGTACTCTGAAGACCTTAGAATGGCTGCCGATGTGTTCAGAGTTAAAGGTAACTATGGCCCTAATGAGAAAACAAAGTGTATCAGCAGAAAGTTGGGACATTAAAAATTAAAACACTGTAAGATGCCCATGGTGGCATATATACACCTTTAATCTCAGCACTCAGAAGGCAGAGGCAGGTGAATCTCTGAGTTTGAGACCAACCTGGTCTACAGAGGTCCAGACTGGCCAGGGTTACATAGGGCACTCTGCCTCAAGCAAACAAAATTAAAATGTTGGAATATAAAACATAATAAGCATGGAAATAAATGAGATTTAAAGTGTACTTGCTCTGTTTATCAGAACCAAGAAATAGAGGTAGCAGTCGTGAGCTTAAGTGAGAGGCACAGTAAAGAGACCCTTGTCAAAGCTGCTCCATGGTAAGGGGAAGGTTGTCAGTGTGGAAAAGAGAGTAAATCAAGACCCATCTGGGGGAGTCTGCCATGGCTTCCTCTCAAGGACAGACAGAAGAGGCAGGGAGAGGAGCAGACTGCAATTGCCAAGGTTATGGGAGCAGAGAAGACAGCAAATATGGTGGGAATGTCCTGCCAGTTATGAGGGGTTATGTTGCAGAGGGAGGAGGGCAGGTTACTGGAACAGCCTGGGAGCTAGCATGGGGCTCTGCCCTGTTGGGTTTGCTTGAGTTCACAGAGAACTGGATGCCCTCTGGAGGCTGTGAAGGCTGATGAAAACATAACGGCTCTTTTCTGGCAAACAGAAACCCACTTTACAAGGTTTCTGAGGAGTGCTGAGTGTTTATGGGGGTCCGTGTCCAGCCTGAGCTGAGCCCAGACTGCCATCTTGGGGGTTTGGTATTGATGTGGGATTCCCCTCTGTATGCTGTGAATATGTTTTATTACCATTGGTGAATAAAGAAGCTGCTTTGGCCTATGACAGGACAGAATATAGCTAGGCGGAAAAACTAAACTGAATGCAGGGAAAATGAAGGCAGAGTCAAGTAGACACCATGTAGCCGCCCAAGAATCAAGATGTGAGGTAACAAACCATGAGCCTAGTGGTAAAATATAAAACAATAGAAACAGGTAAATTTAAGATGTAAGAGCTAGCTAGGAATACGCCTGAGCCATTGGCCAAACAGTGTTGTAATTAATATAGTTTTGTGTGATTATTCGGGTCTGGGCAGCTGGGAAATGAAAACGCAGTCTCCATGTACCTAACAGTGAATGTGGTCAGTGCAAATTATCCAGTCTGAAGAAAAGACAGGAAAAAGACTGAGGGAAAATTAGCGGGAGGTTAGAGATTTGCAGGACACTACAAATTAAGATGCACATTATACACTGACAGGGACAAAAAGAAGCTGAAACGAAAATATTTAAAAAAATAATCTCCATACATTTTCCCAAATTCTATAGACAAACAACATGGCCATCTAGACACTGAGACTACGGAAAGCCACAAGGTAGCTTAATACAAAGAAGCGACACACGCAACAATTGTCTCATCAAAGTGTCAGCAGGGTTAAGGTTGGAAACCTCTGCCTTAAAGCAGCCAGTAAGAATAACTACAGTAACAGAAGAGACATAGCGAGGAAAGGGGATTAGATGAAACACTAATGGATAGTTAAGCGATGGCCGGGCAGAGCGGGCAGAATGCAAATGGCGACACTTAAGTGTGGTTGTTGTACTTTCAGTAAGTTTCACACTACTCAATCCTCCCTACAGGAAAAGTCATCTTTTAAAACGTTATTGGGACAACTGGATACCTGTATGAAGAGAGTGACTTTCAAACACTTTCTCACCCTTAATAAGATTTCATATTTGAGACAGATGTGTCACACACACTTGTAGCAACTATGATGGCAGGCTCCCACCCTCCCCAAGATGGCATTCTGGGCTCAGGCTTTGTAACCCCTCAGGGCTCCCTGGTCACAAGGCAGCTGCCTCCACTAGACCACGTGGCAAACAGACGTTGACTTACCTCTTTACAACTGCCAGCTCGCCCTGGCCACGGCACTCCCATAGAGAAGGAGAGCGCCCCACGCGTCATCCCTGTAGCAAGGATGCCCTCCACTCTGCCCAACCACTAGGCTCTCAGAGAAGTGACTTTGCATGTAAGGTTTAAAAGCATGTGTTTGACTTCGTGGGTCAACACTGTCCCTGACCTACTTTTACCACCCTAGCCTTTCCTCTACTTTGCTACAGTGGTAGATGTACCTGACGCTGTAGTAGTAAGGCCACTTGTTTGGTTTCTGGCTGCTGAGTCCCGAAATAACCACACAGAAACTATATTATTTGCAATACTGTTTGGCCAATAGCTTAAGCTTATTTATGGCTAACTCTTATATCTTAATTTAACCCATTGCTATTAATCTGTGTATCACCACAAGGATGTGGTAAAGTTTCAGCATGTCTGTCTCTGGCAGTGGCTCCATGGCTTCTCCCCTGACTCTGGCTTCTTCCTCCCAGCATTCAGTTTAGTTTACCCCGCCCAGCTCTGTTCTGCCCTGCTCTGCTATAGGCTCAAGACAGTTTATTAACTAAATGTATTCACAGCATACAGAGGGGAATCCCACACCGTGACACCTCATGACCTTCTTAGTCCCGTGACGGAAAAGTTCATATAATGTCTTCCCTGGCAAAGCACATCACTTGTAACCAGAACCCACGTTCTTGGCTATGATCATTCATATTCAGATGTGAACAAGAAAGCCAGTTTCTCATTTATTTTAAGGAAGAGGCATTTTTACACGGGTGACAGCATCTGTGAGGAAGGAGTGACATGCCTCAGACTTCCGGGGCCACAGCAAGGAACGGCAACAGTGGAGAGACAGGATGGACCCTGGAGCCTTCTGAGCAAAGCACAGGAAGCTTTTTCTAAAGCAGTGTAAGATGGTGAAAGTTATTCAAGATTAGATGATCAGGGATTTGGAGCCATTCGGGCAACACGGCTCTGACTTCTCCACATACACACACCTCGTTACTATTATAAATAAATCTAGGATCCTAAGAAAACCCCACTGCTTTTTTATAAATGTTGATGTGTGCCGAGTATCTGAAGGAAGTCCTTGGAAATCTGGTCCCACGT